CCTGAGCCGAAGGCAGAAGCTTAACCGACTGAGCCACACAGGCGCCCCTAAAGTAAAAGAGATTTAATACTTACTTCTGTTTTCCATTGACCTGTTATAGCCTAGGATTGCTGACTATCCAAATTTGTTACATAGTCTTCCTGGAAATTTACTACAGTGCTTTTGGAAGCATTAAGATCAGGCTTGCGACTACATTGAGATCTTTGGAGGAGAGGTGCTTTGTTGAAATCAGCAGGGCTGTGCAAGTATTGATGCTTTTGTTATCTGATCAAAAAGACCTGTCTGTGTTTGTTTGTTTGTTTGTTTTGGGCATAAAAGGGACCAAAAGAAGTTGTTTAGAAAATAATTCACTCTTGGTCAGAGGGAGAACTCTGACCCTCCTCCCTCTCGTGCTCGCTCTCATTCTCTCTCTCGCAAATAAAAAAATAATAATAATAATAATTCACTCTTGTATCTTAAATTTATTGAAAGCTAAGCCATTCAGGGAGATGAACTACAAAAATTAGACTGTTTGAGGTCTGAGATCTTAGTGACAAAAATGGGAGGGAAATCAGCTAAATCCAAATTTTTCTCTTTTTGTGGGTTTATTAGCAGATAGGAAGTTAGGGGGTGGGAGAAATTGGGGATAAAGCACCCAGTCAACTGGGTGCAGCCATGAACACCCCTTCTTTTAAGCAAGCATTCAGTGACTGTCTCTCCCCGACCCAGCAGTGGGCGAGGAGCCAGATAGACAGAAATTCACATCCATTATTAATGAAAGTCTTCTAGTTACAAGTAACAGAAGTCAACTTGAATGGGCTTAAATATGACAGAGGGACATATCAATAAGGACTCAGAGGTGTCTCACGGAATTTAAGGAAGAGCATATATGAGCTGAGCCTCTGGAAGGATGACCCAAGGATTTGGACCCACTAAGGACTCCAACAATACTTTGTCTCTGTGGTCCGTTCTTCCAGAACTTATTTTCCCTTTGCCTTTTTTCCATAAGATTGCCTTTCTTTTACTCAAGCAGGAAAAGATGGTGCCCCAGCAATTCTACAGTCTTGTGTTACAATTCTGGTCACACAGACAAAGTGACTCCTCTCTCTGCTTCAATTCTCAATTCCCGAGGATGGGGCTCTAACCCTCACAACTTGGACCCAGTGTCACCATCCGGTTTAATCAAGAGAGGCCTGAGGGTGGGGTCATATTGTATAAATGTGGCCACTGTGAGGACGGGGCTGTGTGGGAGAAGGCAGTCAGCTGAGGCTCAATCACTGACACTGGGCACACATTTCGGAAGGTGTCTGCTCTGGATGAATGAGACAACTCTCACTCAGTCGGTGAGATAGAAGCAATATAGAATCAATAAAAAAGCAAAAACAAGGGGCGCCTGGGTGGCTCAGTTGGTTAAGCGACTGCCTTCAGCTCAGGTCATGATTCCTGAGTCCTGGGATTGAGTCCCGCATCGGTCTCCCGGCTCAGCAGGGAGCCTGCTTCTCCCTCTGACCCTCTCCCGTCTCATGCTGTTTCTCACTCTCTCTCTCTCTCAAACAAATAAATAAAACCTTAAAAAAAAAAAAAAGCAAAAACAAACACCAAAAAAAGTGCCCGTTTCCTATGATAAAAATCATGCTGAGAAGAAGCCAGGGCTTTTCAGCAGTGACATAGTTCAATCTGAACTCTGGTGCTCAATGGAAACCAGAGGAAAAGGAGCTCGTGTTTATGGAACAGCTGTTTGTTGGCACTTACTTATTTCATTCGCAAACTTCAAGATAGGTCTTGGCTATTTCGTATTGTAAATGAGGAGTTGCCCGTGACTCAGCGAGGACAGGCGCCCTGGTGGCAGGCGGGCGTTCCAAGGTTGCGTCTCTCTGTTCCTGAATCCCACACCCCCTGCACACAGCTGGGATGTGAAAGTCACCAGGTTCCACCGGCTCTGTGGCCATCACAGATTAGGACGACATTGTATCAGGAAGTGACTCTGCCTTCCACTCAGGTCCTGAAGCCAAAACTCCCCCGTTGTTACTTGCTTCCTCCCTTTTCCTGCCTCCCGCATGGACAGTCTGTGGGGAAACCCTATCTGCCATTCCTCCAAGGTCTGTTTTGATTCCGCCCCCCTCCTCCATATCTGCTGCCATCCTTCTCATCCCGTCTTGCAGCCGGACTACACAATGACTCTGGCTTCGACTTTGTCCCCTTTGGCCACAGAGCCGTCAGAGAAGTTTTTACAACTTATGAGTCATATGCCTGCCTGATGGCCCCCAGTGGCTCTCACTTGCACTTGGAGCCAGATCCCCTACTCCTTGCCCTGTCTCCTAAAGCAGCATGGGAAGGAGCCCCGGCTCCCTCTTTGCAGCCACGTCCCACCTCCTCCTCCCCCTCGATTTCTCCAGTCAGATCACACTGGCTTCTCTCTGTTTTGTAAACAGGCTAGACACATTCCCTCCTGGCTCCACTGCCCTTTTCTCATTGTTCACATCTCCTTTCAAATGTCATTTCTATAGAAGTGCCTTCGTGGGCCAGCCAGCCTATCTCAATGAATCCTCCGACCCCCCCCCCAACACTGTCTCCGTCACTCTTCATTTCATCAGACTGTTTTATCATCTCCATAACACTTTTCCCTATCTGGAACAATCTTGTTCATTATTTATTTACTGACTTATTATCTTCCTTCCCTTTTTAGATCAGAAGCTCTAGGAGAGCAGGGGCTTGCTTTTTTCCCTGTTGTTCACGACTGTACCCTGGCCCCTGGGGCCAGTGCTACATAGGAGGCATTCGACACATGTTTGTGGTGTGGACGGATACTCAGTGGACTCTGTTAAGAGACCCAGAGGTGTCAGGGCTGGGCCCATGCCCTTGCATTCATTACTAGCGATGTCGGGGGCATTTAGTCACTGTCTCTTCCGGCACATTCCACTTAAAACCTCCATCACTGAGATTTATCTCTGAGTTTAATCAAATGTAATTTATATTGCAGCCTTCTCAGTAAATAATTGATTTGCCCTCTCTGTTGTCTTCATCACAAATACTTCTTTGTACTCTAAAGAAATGATTTAATCAGTCGTTAGTATACACAGCCCTCTTGTTTAGAAGGCAGATGGAAGATAAAGCATGAGCCTTGCTCACACCAGAATATACCAGGACCAAAATAATCTCCCTTAAAAAATAGTCTGAAAACAAGTTGGCAGCAGAGACACCCAATTAAATCCTCTTGTTTTTTTCTAATGGAGATGACCCCATGGAAGTTGTAGCTGCCGCAGAAGGAAGTTCTTGGCCAATTGCAGGCTGCATGTGAAAATAGAAACCCTTGTCCATCTGTGATTTAATTAACCTCTGTCTGGGTCCAAGAGCAGGCTTTCACATTCCGAGTGTTCACGCACGTTGGGTGAGAACTCCAAACCAGGGGTTTGGCTGCTGTGGGCTGCGCTGTCACCTCAGCTCGCTGAATAAATCCCATTCTCCTGCTTCTCTCTCTTTTGCTCAGTCGCCTGGCTTCCCGTGGGCAACATGGCCTGAGTTTACAAGGATTCTCTTGTAATCCAAATCACACAAACAACCTTCCTTTGCCCTCCGGTGTTTCTCCCAAAGAAAGACATCGGGAGGGGTAAAATGTGCATTTGTTTTCACACATGTGTCTATTTTGAGCCCACACTTTTCTGGAGTGGAAGAAGGGGAGGGGAAAATAATGAAGCATCTACTCTGATACTCCAGGGAGGCATCCTCACAGGGAAAATCCATCTCTCCACTGTCTTTAGGAGGAATTCTCAATATTGTATTTGTTTGCACTGTTTTTAACTGGAAACATCGTAACTGTCTGATGATAGGGGGGTTGGTTAGATGAATTATGATACATCTATATGATGGGATATTATGCTGCCACTAAGAATCATGTTACAAAAAATATCAATATGGAAGAAAATGCATAATGCACTGCCAAATGGAAGAAGCAAGCTACAGATTTATAGCATGAAAACATTTTTGAGAAGTGTGTATTTGTGTGTGTGTATACACTTGGGAAAAAGTTTGGGAGAGCATATACTCCAGTGAAACCATTGATACCCCCGGAAGGTATTATGGGTGACTTTCCCCCCTTTTTTCCTCTCTTGAATTTTCCAAATTGTAAGGTTTGAGCATGTTTCACTTTGTAACTAGAAAGAAAAAAAAAAGCAGTCGTTTTAAAGAATGGAAGTAGAAAAGGTTTAAAAATATATCTGTTATTTTTCATTGAAAAACAAAATTGTCTTCACTTGTCATCAGCTTCCAGGGTTTTGTAAATGCCTAGTGTCTGTTCTGGTGTGCATTTGCCACACAGGGGTGGTGGGAGTGGAGGGGCACAAATCGTGAATTTCGGGAAAGCAAACCCCACAGTACCTCCCCAATCCGGTGCTAGTGAGGATGCCCCTGGGGGGTGGCTGGTCACTCCACTCACTCCTGCAGACTCACCTGCCCGGGATGGCTGGTGAACACTCAGTATTTTTGCCAGGGGCCTTTGCCGTGCATTTGGTGAGAGGGTGTTAGTCCTGGATGTACCTTCTCAATCAGGCTTCGTCTCATGGAACGTCAGCATCAGTTTACATTATGTGAGCTTTGGGTGCTGCCCCCGAGCCCTCCTCCTGTCACCCTTGGGTTATTGTGGGCTGGCACTTGCTGGCTTACCTCTCCACATCATGACCCCTGTCTTTCAGAACACTCTCCCTCAAATGCATTGATTTTGTGCGGGGCTTTGATCAGGTTCCCAGGAAAACAATGGCAGACGCAGAGATCGGCTCTGGGGAGCTTACTGGGGAATGCCCCAGAATCAGCCCCGATGGGGACAGTCAGGTGGCAGGACTGGGCAGAGCCAGGAGCTGGGCTGTGATGCAGCTGCGGCCCAGACCTCAGCTGACCCCACTGTTCCGCAGGGAGCTCTGCTCTGCCCTTCAGCACTGTCACAAATCTGCAAATGGAGGCCAGGGACTTGGACTTTTATACCCACACATATAATCACCCCCATTGATTGGATCTTAGCTACAGGGACCATGGGGAGCGAGGTGAGAGTTACTCCATTTTCCTGGGTCTCTCTCATGTATACAGGAGGGGTATGTGTTACTAAACTTGTGTTTTTCTCCTGTTACTCTTTTATTACAGGAGGATCTCAGCCAAGAACCTGCAAGGATAGAGAAAATTATGATTTTTTTCCCTCCCCCGACACCCTAATTGAAGGAAAACATCATTTCTGATACCATCAAATAACAAAAATCAAAACTTTGGGTCATCTAAGTGCTCAAAGAAATACTAAAATCTGTACTTAAATGCTTCTGAAGAACTTTTAGCCTTTTAAAAGTTATATGGCACTTTAATACAGAACTGCAGAAGTACAGAACAAAACATCCAGGTGTGAGGTGAGGGCAATATGACTCTGTTTGGTGGAAGGCAGTTCTCTGAGAGCAACTCACCCCAGAGCCTTCCTAAGCCAGCACATCACCTGGGGGGGATGAGCCTTCAGACCCGGAACTGGTCTAGGAGACACACCTCATGTAGCCTGCAGTCCACAGGAAAGGGATGAAAATATTGTCAACATGTGATACTGGCCAGGAGCTGCCCAGCTGTGCTGGATGCTTCAAATATATGATTGCATTTACAGTAATCCTACAAGGGGAGTGTTGCTGTCCTCCTTTGCAGAGTTGAAGTGACTTGCTCTAGACTGAGTCTTCTAAATGTCAAAGCCAGCTGAGAACCCCCATCTGGAAGCTGTTCTTCCCCCTTCCTTACTCCGCCCTGCCCCCACCCCTTTGGTATTTTATCTGCATCCCTCTGCCTTCCTCCATGCAGCACTGTTCCCCTAATAGGACACTTTAGGTTGCAAATGACAGAAACAAAGATAAATGCTGGGGCTCTAGCTTCAGACCAGTCCTCCCCTGCCCTCTGTGCTCCTGCTTCTTACCCAGCCCAAATCTTCACAATCGCTTCCTTAAAACATCTTCTGATTAACTCCATGTGCTATTTGGCACTCCTGGCTCTGCCTTGTCCTAGCTCTGTCCTCTCGGGCCAGGCTTTACCCTCTTGGAGCCTCAATGTTCTCATCTGTAAGAAGGGGCTAATAATGCATACCATGCTCAGTTGTTGTAAAGGAATGAAGGCGTGATCAAGAAGGACGTACATATCCTTTAAAGCCTTGTCCATGCTTTGGTCTGACCCTCGTGGCAACACACACTAGTTTAGTTTGTCTCTTGACCACCAGGAAAAAGACACAAGCCCCACCGTCAGACATCCAAGAAGCCAATAGTGTGTGCTGTCCTCAGAGAGACAGGGCAGGGCAATGCCTTTCAGAGAACAGGCTCTCAGTAAGCAGGCATGGACAAATACAGCTGCAGATGAGAAGCTAGACTGAATGGTCCTGGATAGGCCCAAGTTAGGAGGATACACCAAGCTCCTCGGTCTCCATGGAAGGGGCTTCAGAAGGTCTCAGCCACAAAGAATTACAGATAACTTTACAATCTTAAAATCGGGATGTTTCTCTGTTTTTCCCAGCAGGGGGAAAAAAACAGAAAAAGAAACAGAAATAAGTACTAGTGGACCTTAAATAAAAAGGAAATGAAAGAGGGACCAACTATCCGAGCGTAAGGATTGGGTCACTTGTATGGAGGTCCCTGCTTTACACTTCATTTGTTCCTAATCTGACTCAGCCTCAGAATCCTAGGCCAGTCTTTGAAAATGCAGATTCCCAGTACTCGAACTAGAATCTTTGGTATCTTAGTACTGGCTTTACCTGGGAAGATGCCAATGGATTCCAGATGCTCTTTATAGAGAGCTCTTTTCAGAAATACCAGTGAAGAACATCTTTTTAAGAGAATGTGTGCATGAATAATAGGTTGAATATTATTTTGGCTCTTTAATTAGTTTACCTTTTAGCAATAATGACAGCAACCATGTTCATAAAAGCACATTTTAACAGCCCCCTAAGTGTGTTGTTCCCCTCATTCTGCTCGCTACCCAGCTAGTTAATTACACAAAATCAGCATTCTCTCCTACGCAGCCAGTATACATAATTATTTGTCCATTGCAAATCAACACCTGGATAATTGCAAGATAGAATTCTGAATAAAATAAGTTATCTCTGCTGCTGGGCTCTGAAATTCCCCCCACAATCTGTTCTTAAATCGGACAACATAACAGAAAATAGAGCTCTTTCGGCAATGGACAGAGTCATGTTGGACAGGCTGGGGGAGAAAAAAAAAACCTCTTTGAAATTTTCTTATCATCAAGATGGATGGCCTGGTAATTCAGATAGATATGCAGAAGGAAGGAGGATGTCTCAGTTTGGGTATTATGTTAATAATTCATAAGGTGATCTCCCGATTGCCTTCAGGAAGGAACATCCTATTCCTAATTGCACCCTTATTCCCAGGCAACCAAAAATATTTCCCAAACAGCTGGGACCATCACTCCTACTGCAATAGGCTTTGCTCTGGTTCGCTTTGGGCCACTGGTGCTTAATGTGAAATATATTATTTGGGGAGGAGGAAGGTAATAAATATTACTGAATGACTATGATGTGCCAGGGAGTGTGCTAAGAGTAAAATGTGTGTTGTTTTATATAATCCTTCTGACTGTCCTAGAGAGCAGTGCAAATAACTGCAGTGTTTTACAGATGGAGAAGCTAACATTCAGAAAAGTTAAATAACCTTTCCAGTATGACGCATATGAAGTTGCAGAGCTACTGAAAGGCCACTGGACTCCAAAGAGTTAGGCACCGTGCCCCTCACTGGCCGTGTGGCCTTGTGTCAGTGACCTGACTTCCCTGTGCCCCAGCCCCCCTCTCCAAGGTATGGTGATTCTTCAGTAAGACAGCTTATGAAAATGGGACAGGCTCATCTTCAGGGATCAACCAGCTTTTTACCCTTCCTTCTAAATCCTGGCCCCCTTATTATGGACTGAATATTGGTGTTTTACTGCCTCACCCCCAGCCACCCAAGAAAATTCATACCTTGAAGCCCTAACCCCCAATGTGATGGTATTGGAGGTGGGACCTCTGGGAGGTAATTAGGTTTAGATTATGTCATGAGGGTCCACCCCGATGGGATTAGTGCCCTTGTAAGAAGAGGAAGAGAGATAGCACACTCACTCTGTCTACCATGGGAAGACACAGTAATCTGCAAGCCAGGAAGAAAGCTCTTTCCCAGAACTCAATCAGCCAGCACCTTGGTCTTGGGCTTTCAGCCCCCAGCCTGTTGTTCAAGCCACCCACTCTATGGGATTTTTGTTACAGCAGCCCGAACTGACTGAGACACTTCCTTAGATGTTTAAGTATCTCTCTAAACCTAGAAGTGAACCCTCAGCTCAGTGTAAGGAATTTGTTGAAGTTGACCTCCGCTAGACAGGGAAATGCTCTTAACTATCGGAAGTTAAAAGAACTCACAGCCAGGCTGACCACATTAGAAGAAAACACAGCAAAACACTTACCTTGGCTCTTGTGTGGGTTCCTGTGGCCGGGCTCATTACAATCTGTGATGAGTTGGGGGGATAAAGAGAAAATAATCTTGGGTGTGAAGTATCTTTCATGTGGCCATTAGCAGTCTTTAGTGAACAGCCCGGAATGGGAGGCATGTGTTACTCTAGTGGATTCTGTGGGCTCTCTGCTCAGTGTCATAAAAAATGCTAATTACCTGCTTCCTCTGGACCCTGACTTCTGACAGAGCGCTGTTAGTTGAAGCTTCTGCAAGGTCACTCCCCATGTGGGACGTCCACATTGGCAGCACCTTCTGCTCCAAGACAGGGTCTCAGTGTTCTTCCTGACAGCAGCTTTGAGGACCGTTCAAAACGGGGAATTTACTCAGTGCCCTGGGGACTGCCGCGATTTAAATTCTGAGGAGCAGCATTTCCTGGGTTATAAGGGGAGCAGGTCTATGATGAGGTTGAGAAACTCTCTTCCTTAATGGCTCAACGCAAAGGCAACCTTAAAATAACCGTGAGTGTGATATTTACTTTATCCCATTTGGGATTTTATTCCTTGGAGACTAAGTGAATCACACTCACAGAATGGATTTGAAATAGGGTCTGTATGGAAGGGGTGTTTAGTGACCCTTTACACTTCCCTGTAGTGATTCTGACTCCAAGAGTCCACTTGCCTCTTTTAAGGAAAGAAAGAAATTCATTCATTTATTCAATCATTCAGTGGAGCTGGGCACTGCGGTTCCACTCGGTGCCAGGCACCATGCTAGGTTCAGAAACCAGAGATGAATCACTCCCAGCCCCTGCCTTGGTGGAGCTCAGGCGCAGAGAAGGAGGCATGAAGACAAAGTCAATGAGGTGCCATGGATACTGTGGACAGATGCTGTGAGAGAATATTGTGTTAGGAAGATGCTGCGCTCTGGTATCTTGGTCAACAATTCCATCACAGCTCCCTATATTCTGGCACTTACAGACTGAGCATAAGGCTGGATTTAAACAGATTTCTACAGATGAGATTAAGTCATTGCGAGAATGCAAGGGGATTATCAGGAAAGTGCCGTGGAGGCATCTCAGAGGGGACCTCCCAGATAGACCCCTGGGATCCAAGGAGCCCTGGGCACATGGTCCTGTGCTGAGGCCTCAGGTGTGGGCGGTGGTGGAGAGAGATAGGGCAGGGCAATGCCTTTCAGGCTCAGACAATAGCAGGTGCAAAGGTGCAGAGCTCAGCCTGCGTTGCACATAGTAGGGCTTGTTGGAGGATCTGGGTAAAGGCCAGAAGGTGAGAGATAAGGGGGAAAGGGGCCCAATGTGAGGCTGATGGGTTCAAGAGAGGCCTTTGGAGTATATAAAGAGGTTAATTTCAGTTGGTGGGGAATGGGGATAGGGAAGGAGGGGCGCTCTCCTCCCCCCACCCCCCAAAAAAGCCCTCATAACAGAAGGTGTACTTAACCTGAAGGTACACTTGAAACATTTATCAAAGAGACAGGCAAGTCAGAGAGGAGGAAACAGCAGGGGCCAAGGGCACGGAGAAGCCCGGCCGGGAGGACTGGAGTTGAAGCCGGAATGAGATAGGGAGGAGAGGGAGGCTGCCTGTTGCAGGCGGAGTGAAGTCAATGGCATTTCAAGGACGGTAGCGTGGTGAGGGCTGGCACTGGGGCTGCGGCTCTTTGGAGGCAGTGTGGGGCACGGATTGGGGGTGACTGTGGAGGTACTTCTGTGGTGACTTCTGGATGCCTCCAGATGCTTAGAGTGGTGTATGTGCACCCCACCGACCCTCAGCGGCCATAAAAGACAGCAGCCGCTAGGATGACCAGCAGTCCATTGTTAAATTAGAAACGGACCATTCTTGGAAGCCCAAATGCCTTACTGTGATTGTAGGTTTGCCGTGACTCCCTGAGGATCTTTCAGGTTGTTATTTCTCAGGGAAATCCGCAGGGAAGCATTGTGAGGTGCAGACCCCTGCAGGGTATGCAAGATAATCTGCTGGGGATGTGGGAGATTATTAGACATCTCTTTATGTTTGGTTCTAAACTAAAACATTTTAAGACTGAATGAGCTTTAATAATATTAATGCACAGATTGTAGGTAGTACATGTATGTAAGTTATACAGAAATATACCTATTTTCGATGTACAGGCTCAACAGTATTTTACTGATAGAGACATGGGATTAAAAATAAAAACCCAAACCCTGGAAATCCTGGTTCTGTGGACTTGGGCAGACCTTTGTTTCAATCCTGGCTCTGGCACTAACCTAGATGTATCAGGTTAGGCAATGTGACCACTCAGAATTTCTGTTTCTAGAAAGGGACCCAGTAGATTGAGTTGACCCAGACACAGGCCATCCTCAAAGATGACTGGGTCCCTCCCACTAGACTCAGAGTCTCAACGGATGGTATTTAGGAATCTGTGATTTGGGGTTTGGGGCTTGGGGTTTTGTTTTTTACAGGTGATTGATTCTCCATTATATTAGAAAGAAGAAATGTCTACAGTAGCCCACTGGCTTGTCGCCTGGCATGTAACTCCCCGAGTGCAGGGCTGTTTATGTTTTGTTCGCTGCTGTATCTCTAGCACCTTAGATCACAAAGTGGGTACACAATATATGTTGACTCCATGAATGAAGGAATGCGTGGTCAATCCATCATCCCCAGATGTTGTCTCAGTGTTATTTAAACCTTATCCTCACAACAGAAAGGATCATGAAGAGCTCCTGGGGCCTACAGAACAGAGCCCAAAAGCTCCAGGGCCCCAGGAATAGGCCCCCGCAGCCTTGGCCAGCATCATGTGAGGCCTGTGCTCTAACACAGTGCTTCCCAAGCATGTCTGCTGACCCAGGCTCACCCCAGACCAATCTACCCAGAATCTGTGGGGTACTATTTTTAAAAGCTCCCAAGGTGATTCTAAAACGTAGCTAGGGCTGAGAAATGCTCAAGACTAGACTAACCCAATGACTCACCTTTTCTCTGAACATCATCATACTTTTGGCTCTTCTGGAAGTTTCTCCCTTTCCTGCCTGATGAACACTGATTCCTCACCAAGCCTCCTTCAAATGTCATTTCACCCCTGTAGCTGTTCCTAATCTTCTCCCCACCAAACAAGTAATTTCTCCTCCCCTCAGCTCTCTATGACCTTCACAGCCCTGGTCATATTTTATAAAGCTCTGTGTGTCCCCTCCTGAAATGTGGCTTCCTCCAGAAAGGAGAGGGGACTCTTTCCACACACCTAGGTACCACAGAAAGATAGCACACTGCCTAGCACAAAGAACACCCTGGGGCAGGGCAGTACATAAATGGTGATGATATAACTCGGGTGACCACACCACCGATTATCCAAACTGGGATAATTTTGAGAGCGGTAGGATGATAGTAGTAGTAGTAGTGTCAGGACAGAAGGTATAAACAGGGATTGTCCCAGGCAAGCTAGAAGTACGATCACCCAGATGACAGTGGTCAACTTTGGTTGAGCCCCGACTGCCAGTCACTGTCTTATGTTGCTATCTATGGGTCACTTCTTTGACCTACACAAGGACCCAGTGTGGGAGCAATGTCTATTAGCTACTCTTCACAGAAGAAAGACACTGTGGCAGACATGGAAGGGAACTTACCCAACACAACACAATGAGGGGAGTGGGTGGGAGAGTTGGGACCAGAATGCCGGTCCTTGGAATCCAGAGCTCTTGTTTGGGGCCATTACACCCTGTTGCCTCCCAGGGGAAGATCTCAGGTCTTGGCATGGGACAGGATGAGATTCTGTTCCCAGCTCAGCTTGCAGTAATTTTAGTTATCTCTCTGGCTTTGGTTTCTTCATTCATAGAATGATGACAATGCCTATTTCCAGTCCCTGGAGGAGTAAGGGGAATAAGGTCTGAAAAGATCAGGCATAGTGTGTGTGTTTATAAGGTACTTGTCTTAGGAGTAAGATAGCTGCCAGTTTACTGTAGACTCCATGAGACATCTTCTCAAATAGCTACGATACAAAGTAAAAAGTGGCAAGTACCATAACAGAGTATGGAGTAAGGTCAACCAATGCCAAAGAGCCTACTGGTTAAAAGCATGAAATTTTTCATAACACCTGGGTTCAATCTCAGGCTGTCAGATTTGACTATGTCAGATTTTCTTTTTATTATTTTTCTAAGATTTTATTATTTTTTAAGTAATCTCTACACCCAGTGTGGGGCTCGAACTCACAACCCCGAGATCAATGTTGTATGTTCTTCCGACTGAGCCAGCCAGGTGCCCCGACTATGTCAGATTTGAATAGAGTTTCTCCAGAGAAGATATGCAAAAGGACATGAGCACAAGAAAAGATGCTCACCGTCACTAGTCCTGAGGAGCATGCAAAACAAAACTCTGATATCACTAAACACCCGTAAGGATGGCAAAAGCAAAAAAGACAAACAGAAGTATTGGCAAGAATATCTAGTAGAGAAACAGAAACCCTCATACTTTGCAGGTGGGATTATAAACTGGTACAGCCACTTTGGAAAAACACTTTGATAGTTTCTCAAAAATTTAAAGATAGAGTTACCATATAACCCAGTATTATACCCAGGAGAGAAGTGGTACTCAGGGAGAAGTGGTGTGATACTAAGAATTGAAAAATATGCCCCCCAGGAACTGATTAACACAAATGGCATAGTAGCCCCCAAATAGAAACAACCTGAATGTCCATCAACTGATGTGGTGCTTCGATACAATGGAATATTACTCAGCCAGAAACAAAGGAATATGAAATACTGGCCCATGCTATAACATGCAGTAACCTTGAAAATGTGATGAGAAGTGAAAGAAGCCGGTTACAAAGGACCACACATTGTGTGATACCATGTATATGAAATGCAGTTTGCCTCCAGAATAGGCAAATCCATAGAGACAGCAAATGGACTAGTGGTTGCCTGGGTTGGTTTGGGGGAGTTGGGGAGTAAATGCTAATGGGTACAGGGCTTCTTTGGGGGGTGATGAAAATGTTATGCAATTAGCTAGCAATGATGGTGGTACGACTCTGTGAATGTACTAAAACCACTGAATTACATTCCTTACAAGAGGGAATTGAATGGTATGGGAATTATATCTCAATAAAGCTGTTATTTAAAAAATTCTGGCTCTGCTGTTGGTTATCTTCCATAAAATAGGGCAGGTGACAGAGTCTAACTTAAAGAGCAGGTGTGAGGATCACATGAGAGATTGCATGTAGAATCTTGGCACAGCGACTGGTAGAGTGAATGTTCGATAATTGATAGTGACAGTGTTGATGATTTTCCTGAAACACGTGTCCCTGCTTTTGTCCATCCTGAAGCATAGGGTCAGTGGTGCTTTCAGCAAAACAGGCTGGGGATTCATGATGACTTGGGACGCATGAAGACTGACCCTTACCCTAATACCCTCACATCGTGTGGGTCTCTGATGGAATAGCCTTATGGCTCTGATATCTGTTATTTATTTCTTAACTAATATAACTGAGACCTTGCTCAAGATGTGCTCATGAAAAATTACCCTTTTAATGGTGGAGCCTTTAATGAGAAACTGGATTATCTACTGCATAAGTGCCCTTCATACAAATTAGCTTGGCCCTGGGTCCTAATCTAAATTGGGCTCCTTCCTTTCCTCTAAATGGCCTAATATTTTCTTATTAATCTCTGCCCTCGTTCACCTGATCTGGCTCTGCCTCCTTATGAAGCGTCCTCCTTGGTAGAGCTCTACGCCTTGACAAATGTTTCTTAAGGCTGTCTTTGTATCTGACTCGTGGATGTTTTCTGGGACATGATGCGGAGGCTGGAAGTTGTTTGTTCCATTTTCAAGCTGTCTCTCCAGTGGAGTTTTAATGCTACCAATGTATTAGGTATCAAGAGATTTGGGCCAGGTGAGTTTTGATACAATATAAAGATGGGGAAGTCAGGTAGAATGAGAAGCAATTAATCCTGGTGGTTAAGAGCACAAACTTGAAAACACAGAACACGTGCAAAACCAGAAACCTGGGCTTTGGCGTCAGAGAGATCTGGGTTCAGGTCGCACTTAGTAATTTTGGACAAGTTACTTGGCCTCTCAGATGTTCAGTTTAGATCCTCATTTATAAAAACCTGAATGACAGTACCTATGTCTAGGGTTATTTCTGGGGCTAAACAAGTTGGTGTATACAATGCGCTCTGAACAGAACCTGATAAATGATACCTATACGTAAAGCTTGGAGAAGTCCCACACAGTGAAAGGGATTTGACTGGTGACTGAAATAGTGTCATGTGTTGAAGAGGCAGAGATGGTATTTGGGACAGAGTAACATAACCTTCCCAAGAACCAGAGCAAACCATAGGCCACTCCTGCCCAACACTGCATGATAATGCAGAGAGGTGACATGTCGGTCCACAGCTGTGTTGTTGAGCTAGATGTCTGTACAGGGTGTATCACGGCAAGTGTCTTCTTTGGTCTTAGCTTTAGTCTCTGACATCTGCCCTCACAGAATCCTGAGGCTGAATTTTTACATTGATTATAGGTTCTGACTAATCATCCCTGTGTTATTTCTGCTTTGTGGAATATAATTCAAAGGCTTGCATATACCAGGAGTCAGCAAGGGTACAGTGGGGAAAAAGCACTAGCTGGAAATCAGGGGTCTGGCTTTGCAGACATTTCTCCTTTGTGCCCTCCTTGCCTCAGCATCGTATCTTCTACGTGCTTCTTTCACGGGGCTGGTAATAGTGTCGACAGCTACCATTTTCTGAGAACTTAGCATGTGAATCCGTGCTTCGCACATACTCTCCTCTAGAAGTTACTATTCACGATAAATCTGAACGTAGATATTTTATCCACATTTGACAGATGAGCAAACCGAGGCTCCACAGACAGTTTAGCTGGTTTTCAAGTGAGAAAGGCATGATTTGAAATGAGGATGTCCAACTAAAGCTGCTACCTTCTTACACAACTAACATAGTGCCTTGCACATTTTTATTTTCAGTCACCAGAATCTTGAGCTTGTAGGGGCACAGACTTTGTCTTACACGTCTGTTGCAGTGAGTTACAGCGTCTGGCACAGAGGAGACCCTCAGAGAGGGACGATGGAATAAATAAATGAACCGCAAGTTTTTTTCAGTAGAAAAGCATTATGCTGTGGTTAACTATTGCCGTTGTTTTTCCTGTTTTCAGCTCAAATAATTCTCAATTCACATTATGGAAAGGCCTTAATTTGCACGTCATATAGATAAAAGGAAGTAGGCTGGGTTCTCTCTCATGCGCTCAGCCCAAAGTTTCTGCCCCATGACGGCAGCCTTGATGGACGAGGTATTGGAAGTTCAGGTTCATGATGTTCCTGGACATGAGTATCAGAAGACTAGGGTGCTCTAGGTCTTAAGAACCACATGTGCAAACTTTATGAAAGTTTGATGATACTAGAAATTTTAATTCCTGTGCATTCATCTTTTTTTCTGACTGGGTGAACTTGGGACAAGCTCCTTGAATTCTGTGACCTTCATCCTCATTATCTAGAAAATTGATATGGTTGAGTTTTTACAAAGAGTGGGGATCAAGTCTATAAAACATCTCCCATGAAACACTCAGTTCACAGAAACTTTACTGTCCTTATTTTATGTGGATGTATTTGAACATCTGGTTGACATGTCCTAGCAAAATATTATGTTAATAATTACTGAGAAAGGCTGTTGCAGGATATGGGCCCACCATACCAAGTCGCCTTATACACACACATGAGCTAGCAGAAGAGATATTGTAAAACCCATTTTTTTTGATCATTGTCCCTGGGTCATTACTTGATACAAAGCAATTACTCTGGAGTCCCACCATAAAACAGCCCATGGAATTGGGTGTAAGAAGATCTTGGACCCTGGCCAAACTCATATTAAATGCTGGAAATGCCAAAGAGGCTCAGTGCTAATACTATTCTAACAAGAATGTCAGACATGAACTTCTTAGTAGGTGATTATTATTTGTGGAATACCTGGTGTGTATCAAACTCTGTATTGGGCTCCTTAAACATGTTGTCTGATTTAATTATCTTAATGCCCCACTGGGTTGGTTATTTTTAACTCTTTTCTTTTTCTCTTGCCTGAGAAAACAGAGGCTCAGAGAAAAATAACTTGCCTCTGGATTTAAAAGGATAGAGTCAGAATTTGCATCCAGGAGAACTAGCATTCTTTTCTACTCGGTCCAGTGATTTCTTAGAACATAAATGAAACCAGAGAACAAATCTCGATACTATGGGTATTTAAAGACAGTGGGACCTGAATGCTTACTTGCCTGAATCCTGCTTTTCTCTGTTTTTAGGTCAGGATCGCAGTGAAGCCACTTTGATAAAGAGGTTTAAAGGTGAAGGGGTCCGGTACAAGGCCAAGCTGATCGGGATTGATGAGGTTTCTGCAGCTCGGGGAGACAAGTTATGTCAAGATTCCATGATGAAACTCAAGGTGCTTTGCAAACATTTTACTTTCAATATCACAGACTTTATAGGACTGAGGGAAGGGAGTGATTATGATCATTATGATAAAACTCTTTACTTATTCATTTAGTAGTAAATTACTTGGTTCACTGATGAATCACTGCATGAATTCATTGGGAAGAGATTTCAATTGTTATGAAAATGTTTATTGAGCACCTACTATGTGGAGATATTTTGCTGGGGCCCCAGTTTTATAACTTCTGAGCATATCATCTTTTATTCAATGTTATCTTCATTGCACAATGCCTGCAAAAAGAAAAGTAAAATTGTCAAATTTTATAGTCCCTCAGATTTTATGAATCTTTGCCCCTTTGTTATTTTTTAATACATTTTAAATATTTTACCATATGATAAATATGGTAAAAGATGCTATGTTAAGATAAAAGCTAATTTTATTCATTCTTATCATTCCTATTAATGTTTCCAAACACTTTGTAAAAGACAAATATTTTTTAAGTAATATGTAATGAGATTGTGGGATTTGGAGATATCACAGAGAAGTTTTTGATAGTAAATGCTTTAAAGAAGACCTTTTTATTGAAAAATCTAAGAAAGAAATTGGAAAAAATTAATATACACAATAAAATTATGTTATTAAATGGCCTTTAAAACATGAAAAAGAGCATTGTTTGCTCCCACATTCTGGTCTTCATATAGTCTATGTTTCCTTCTTTTAAAAAGCAATTTAAAACATTGAAAAAACAAATAAGTTAGCAGGAAGTCTATAAAATACCTGAAGCATTTAACACATATAATTTAAGTATCTTCCCAATTACAGAATTCACAAAATGTTCATTGTAAAATATTTTGAAAATACAGAAAAATATAAGGAGAAAAATTAAAGTCATCCATAATCCCACCACACAAAGAAAACCAGTGTCTACATTTTTCTGTGTAACTTAATCTGTCTTTGTATTTGTATGTATATTATGTGAATTATAAACATATGTAATACAATTGGAATTACTATTATACAGTCTTATATCCTGGTTTTTTTCCTCATCTAACACAATATTATGAGAATTTTTTTTCATATCTTCCAGTAGTCCCTCAGGACACAAGTTGGTCAGTGCAATTTTTTTAAGTGTAAGAAAGGAGGAAGAAAAGAAAAAAAATACATGTATATATATGCAAGGCTGGCCAAGTTCCTCCAAGTACGAACTGGGACAGTATCTATAAAACACCCTCTAGTTGCCTTTCCTTTCCTATTTGCTTAATAAATCAGAGCTATTATTTTTATTTATACTATACAAATTTTCTCAGCAGTTTAACACGGATATCAGATGCTAAGTCTCCTTGTAGTATGGCTGTAGGAATCATCATTTTAAAAAAATCTTAATTTTCTTTCTTTTAATTTTTTTAAAAGATTTTATTTATTTATTTGAGAGAGAGAGAGCAAGCATGAGCTGGAGGGGAGAGGGACAGAGAATCTGAAGCAGATTCTGTGCTTATCCCAGAGCCCAGCCACAGGGCTCGATCCTGTGACCGTGAGATCATGACCTGAGCTGAAACCAAGAGTCGGCTGCTTCACCAGCTGAGCCACCCAGGCACCCAAAAATCTTAATTTTCTAAACTGTGTACCCGTTATTTTTTTAGCTGTTACATAAGCAAACTTTATTTTGATAGTTATGTATCTATTATAAAGTATACTAGAAAAAGGTGAAATCATGATTTGACAAATTATCACCTTGGGAAAGGTTAATGTTTTCCTTCTTTTCTTTTTTCTTTCTTTCTTTCTTTCTTTCTTTCTTTCTTTCTTTCTTTCTTTCTTTCTTCCTTCCTTCCTTCCTTCCTTCCTTCCTTCATTCCTTCCTTCCTTTCTTTCTTTCTCTCTCTCTCTCTCTCTCTCTC